CTCATGTACTTGGTGACACCATATTTTTGGGTTCTTTTAGTTGTATCATCATTTGACATCAGTTATTTATGCTATTCCGCTATTTGAGATAATTTCTTACTGTTGTTGAAGTTTATTTCTACACATTTGTTGTTGGCTTGCCTAGTAAGTGGTGTTAGGCGCCATCATAACTCTGATGGACTTTTGGGTCGTGACAAGTTGGTATCAGAGCACAAGGTTTTTTAGGTCTCACGAGTCATGAGCAGGCATAATAGCGTCTTGTGATTCAGTACAGAGACGTCTGTACTTATCTTTGTAAGACTATTGGGCCTTAGAAAAATATTCCTTTCTTTTATTCCTTATCGTGTGATATGATTGATCCAAATCTAAATCTTGTATTTCTATTCTATCATACACTACAAAAAAACAGCGTTTAGCGACAAGAGATACTTCGTAGCTAAATAACGAAGGATTGGCGACGAATTTTATAGTTTGTCGCCAAATAAGATACAAAATAATTCGTATCAAATATAGTGGAGGATTAGCGACCAAAACTTATATTCGTCGCTAAAATTGGCGCAAAATATTAGCACCTTTATTTTACCTACAAAATTAGCGACGAAAGTGGGGCGACAAAAATTATTAAAACTTAGCGACGGATTTAACGTCAAAAAATCCGTCGCTGCATTCATTTTACTTATCAAGACATTCCAAAGTTAGCTGCGACAAAATTTTTCGTCGCTAGTTTCCTTAAAATAAAATTTCATTAGTTATTATTAGCGACAGAAATTAGGTCAGTCGTTATTTTCGTTGCTAAATTTTTCGTCCTAAAAATGAATTTACCCTAGTTAAAAGATATTCCAACAATTAGGGCACAAACACGCCCACTTTCTCTCCTATCTATCAGACTCCCACTTTCATTCCTCTTCCACAATGTGAGTTTTTTTTTTCTCAAATACAAAAAAATGGGTGTGAATCTAGGGTTAATATCTGAAAAATAGAAGAAAACTTTCAAAATTGCAAAATATTTGCTGCAGAATTCTGAAATTCGAAGTCGTGTGTTTGCAGAATTCTGAAACTTGAAGTCGTGCGTTGATTTTAGGGATTATATGTCCTTGATACGGTAAGCTTCTTTGTGATTTCATTCCTGTTTTGTAGACCTGGGCGAGAATTATGTTCATCCTGTCTTGTGCTTCTATCATGGAACATGACTGGAACTCCTTAAATCTAACTAAAAAGGAAAGTGTCCGATTATCTGCAAACTAATTCAATGCCTAGCAAATGGATGTCAGAATATATAAGTCAAGATTTTATCTTCTGCAATGCAGTGACTTTCTGTGGGATTTTATCTTATTTTTTGGATAATTTTTTGGGGAAGTGTTCAGGAAATAAAATCTGAGCTAAAATATGTGAAAAAACAATGAATGCTCCTCTAAGTTCTACTAAAAATTAGATCTAGGTATTTTGTGTAAGAATTTCCGTCCACCTGTTAACTTGATCATGTGTTGGATTAAAGTAAGGGTGGCTGGGTGTTAAGATATGTTCGTCATCTTCTTTCATGTCTGAAGATTGGAAATAAGTTAAATGTTCTTGATAAAAATGGTCTCTTCCTGTCATGCCTGAAGTAAAAACGAATTAATTAAATTTTGTATGTATGTTGGTTCAATATCGTTGGGTATCCTTGATTATATCAATGGCTCTCTTTGGATTGTCGTTATCATTTTAGAATCATAGGGTATTAGACCAATTTTCACATGAGTTTCAATTTGCAGAAGGTTTGTTGGTCACTTAATCTTCATGACTTCCATGTTTGAATTAACTGTAAGCATCCTTAGTCATAATGTGAAATTATGGAGGAGCTCATTGAAAGCAAATAAAATTACCGGCAGTTATCTCAGTGTTAATTGTTAAGTGTTAATTGAGTCTTATTAAATAAAGAACTCTAAGGTCTTGTTTATTTTAATATTAAATAGGAAACTAAAATTAATATTAGAAGGCATTCTATTGGGATTCTTCAATTGATAGTGCGATGCGGATCCAATGGGAGCATAGGGCAGCAAAAAGATACAGTAATTTTGTTAGCAAACTAAAATCAAATAGGATGCAACCGGACTCTATTCCAAATAATGTGTGGCAAAGTTGGTTGAGACTTTGGAAAGATCCTAATTGTGTTGAAAAGTCAGAAATAAATACAAAACATCATTGTGCTGGGAGCGGAGTTGCCACTGGGACTCACACAAGTGGCTCTATCAGTGTTTTGGAGTATCGGAAGAGACTTTTAAGTGTATATAAAATATCTGAAAATCTCATTTAAGTTTACTCTAATTCGAATCTGAATCTCATTTAAGTAGGTTACCTGACGTTGTGAGCTGCGGATTGTCTCTTGTTCTATTTTTAATATTCTGCGTTTGAGTTATGTTTATTGAACTTTTGTGCATTGGTAGGACTTGCATTTTCCTTATAAATTGACACATGACTGTCCAACGAGTCTACCTCATTCCCTTTTTCCTTATCTGCTTGATCTGCCCAGCTTTTTGATAGTTCCTTAGGATTCTTTGTTGCTATCAGTTCATTATATTAGTTTTTTGATAGTTCCTTAGNTTTTCCTCATCTGCTTGATCTGCCCAGCTTTTTGATAGTTCCTTAGGATTCTTTGTTGCTATCAGTTCATTATATTAGTTTTTTGATAGTTCCTTAGGATCCAGAAAAATATCTCTTCTTTTTAGTATGTATAAATTACATAATGAAGTTATCCACAATAATTAATTTCTAAAGTTGGATCAATATGTCTTCAAAAATCGTGAGTTGCAAAATTATTGTACGATTAGTTACCACTTTGAATTGAAACAAATAAAAAGGAAATTAAGGTCCAAGTTTGTGGTCCAATTGTATATGTTGAGAATCATTTGTTGGCGGGGAAAGAGGAACATAATATGCAAAAAAAGAAAAAAAGAGGAAAGTATTTGCAAGCATAGTGAATGTACCTTCAGTTAATGATCAGCAAGTTAATGATTTGCCCAGATATTTAGATATTGAGTTGAAAAAACTAATGTAATGTTCTAGTGCCACAAAAGTGCCAAAATCTCAAATTTTTGACACCCCATTTCATCCAACAGATGTGTCAACATGTTAAATCTTCAAATCTTTTTTGGAACTCAGATAAGGTAGCCTAGATCTTCAATATAGGGAAAGGGGACATGGGGAGGAATACAAAGTGCAGTCCAACTGGATAAGCAAATCTTCATATATTTGGGGTTCTAAAGGGTCTAGTAAAACTACAGAAGTAGGTGGTCTACTTTAGGAACCGTAGGTGCCACATCTAAAGGGTGTTCTTTTTTTTTTTTTTCACTCTCGGCTTTTGTCAAAGTAAATTGTCCTAGTAAACTGAAAGAGCTGTCAACTTGCAGTGCTATTGTAGTAAAAGCTGAATCTTGGAGGTTTATGTAGATCATTTTCTTTTAGTTGATACTAGTGTTATGAATAAGTTCATGACAGGTGATGTAATTTTTCTAAGTACTTGGTCCTGCTACATGGACATCTCCCTCTCTCCCTTTCTTTTCTTGTGCATCCTTACAGGAAGGGGATTGGAGAAAACACAAGAAACTCATCTTAAATACTAATTTTTCCCCTTTTTTAATCTGTTACATTTTGCTTTGCTTTTCTAGTAGTTCTAAACTTCAGTACTTTCTATCTCTTTGGTTGTTTGAGAAATTTAAGGTTATATTCAGTATACCACTTCGTTTCTCTTCTTCCAAGGCAAAATTTAAATCCTTTATGGATAGGCACAGTCTTGTGAAATAGCTGTCCGAGCTGTCAACTTGTAGTGCTATTTTCAACTAAATAGTGCTCTACTTAGGTGCCTGTCATTTGTGATATTGCTCAGTTTTCTATCATTTTTGTCCTGATCAGGTTTCTTTTAGCCCTGTTAGTAGCATGGTTAATCTAGTCATCATTGGTCAATAGTTGGGCCATATTTGCCTGAGAAGTGAGGCTCTTTAGCTTCTAAATTCACTACTTTATACCCTGCTCTAAAGACAAAATTAATAATTCCCTTTTTCTCTTGCTAATTCAGTGCTAAAGCGTGTGTTTAATTAGATTTGCAATGGCCAAGGTCTCTCAAGTTTGAATATTCATTTGACACTTATTACTTAAAATGTCTGATATATACTACTAAAATCATTTAGGTATATTTCAAGGAAAGTTCTAAGTTGACTTCATTGTCAGTGTTTTCATATTTGCATTGGCCAAGGTCTCTCAAGATTGACATACATTTTTTAAATAAAATATTTTGTATGATGTCTATTATTATTTCCTTAAAAAATTAATCATTTAAGACTATTTCATGGAAAGTTCTGAGTTGTCATCCCAAGGGAACTTTACATCTCATCAGCCTTGATTTCTACCGAAATAATTTTTTTTTAACCAAATGCTTCAACCGACAGTTTTTTGAATTACAAATGTGGAGTTATAAGGTTTTACAGTGATGAGAAATTATAAACCTATTTGTGATGTTGCTTCGGCGAACTCCATCTTGAAGTAAAGTTAAAGAAACTATCTTTTTTCTTTTGATCTTGAATATTAATTACAAAGTTCTGCTCATGGATCACTTTCTGCAATGACATTATCAAGCTGCTAACTAGCAAGTGTGGATGAAAAGTCAACCACAATCATATTCAAGATTTTAAGTTAGTGGTGAAAAATACATCAAATGTATTAGGATTTTTAAATTGTGAGCGTTCAGTTGCCTTTAATCTAGAGTTGTTACTTCCTGAAATTTGATGTTCAGTCAATATATTTATATGTTATAACTAGTTTTTTATAGTGAGTAGTTTAAGTTGAAAGTAAAGAATGCGCATGTATGACATTATAGATCTGCCTCTAAGCTACTACTCATACAGAATATGGTGGTTTAAAGCAAGGCATTCGATATTATCAGGGGTGGCACCTTAGCAATATTAGCACTGAACTTAATTCTTGACAGTCTTAAGGTCTATCTTATTAATTGATTAACTTTTGTATAGGCTGTTAAAAAGGGTCGAGATCCAACACCAACTGAGTTGCATTTGCACGTCCATACATATGGTAATGATGGAAAATCTTTTGTTGTTGAGAAATCCCGAATCGTACATGTAAGATAACTTTTTAAATAATTTTATTGACTTTACTTTCATATAATTTTTCATTTTGTAAATTGAATGCTCAATATTATTTAGTCTTTTTATTTCACTAATTATTAACTCTTCTACAGGAAAATTATCAGGAGATATTAAAACAACAAACACAGACTCAATCTGATATTGATCAGTGTAAAGCATATAATCAACCCGCGAGAGGAAAAAAGAAAAGAAGAGTATATGGTCTTGGATCTCAAGCAAAATGCTACTATGGGCCAAATCTTCATGACTCTTTTGGATCTGATGCTACATCATCAGCAATTCCTCCAAATGCTCAATCAACACCGATATGGAATCTGGATGAGATAGTGATGCGATTGATTCCTGCACTGGCATATCATATAGTTCCTGTAATTGTTGAGCGGGTACGCGAATTAGTTTCCTTACCCTCGCATCCGCCAAATACTGATCTTACCAACCACCCATTAGATGTGGCACTTACAGTTTTTACATTTTCTACTGCTGCTAACATTGATGAGGTTCATGCATTGGGTTCTGATGATGACCGTAACTCTCCATCCTCGCATAGTTAGCCTATTTTGTTTGCACTTTATTGTTGGTCCTTGTAAATTTTTTGTACTTAACAATACCGTTATATGCATTATGCTATATATTTTGGACCTTGTTGAATATATTGTTAATTTATATTAATATCAGTGACTTTTTATTAAGTGTATTTAATAGCTTTTATGTAATATGCTTGAACAGAGCACATTTAAAATAATAAATAAAAAGAATTTTGAAAAATCAGCAATATATTAAAAATAAATTAGCGACGGATACTTTCCGTAGCTAAAATTATCGCGTAAAATTAAATCTTGCGATGAATTTGCGACAAAAGGTTTTGTTGCAAAATGCAGGGAGAATTAGCTATAACATGACTAGCGAGGGACGATTTCGTAGCTATTAAGAACAAACGATGAATTTTGTTATGTATTGTCGCGACAAAAGTCGTCAAAATAGCGATAGAAACAAGCAATATAGCGACGGTTATTTTCATCGCTAAACTTTGCTACAGATATATTCCGTCGCTCATCGGTCGCTAATTCTGCGACGGTTTGGTATTTTTTGTCGCTATGAGCCTAGCTACGAGTATTTTAGAGACAAACTTGAATCCGTCGCTAAACAACTGTAGCGACGAAAAATAGAGGTTTAGAGACGGAATACGACCGTCGCTAAACACTATTTCTTTTGTAGTGATAGATGGTGAGGACTCGCGCATCAACTGGCGATTAAGAGCCCGTCCTTAAAGCTGGAGCCACAAAAGGTAGGGGCAGGGGCGCAGCTAGAGGTGGAGCACATGCCCTAGCTAGAGGGCATGCCAGAGCACCTTCAATGGAGCTACCTGTAGCTCTAGTAGATGTGTAGGCCTAGATTCATGTGGAGCAGGTGGGACAATCTCAGGGTCCCTAGGGTTTATTTTCTACACCAAATGTTCAAGATGCCTTGGTTTGTATGGCTGGTTTATTTGAGAGTTTGGCTCAGGTTGGGGTGTTTCCTACTGCACCAGCTACTTCCCAGGCAGGGGGCGGAGCGCAAACTCTCGCTACTCATACCAAGAGAAGATGGCCCATGGTTATCAAGCCCCCGCAATGTTACCAGTTAGGGGAGATTAGCCAACTGTTGCCGTGCAGCCTGAGATAGGACCATGATGTCAGCTGATGAGCTGAAGAGGCGAGACGGGTGTACAAAGTTATATCCTCATCACTTCATCGGTACACCTTCAGCGAATGCCCGAGAGGTTTTGGATCATTTCACGAGATTCTATGCAATTTGGGACTAGTAGAGTCCAATAGAGTTGACTCACCGCCTTCCAGATGCAGGGTCCTGCCAAGAGGTGGTGACATGTTTATGAGCTAGGCAGACCAGTAGGATCACCTCCTCTTACTTGATCTCAGTTCTCCACTGTATTTTTGGATAAGTTTGTGCTTTGCACCAGAAGAGACGAGCCAAGGAGGCAGTTTGACCACCTTCAGCAGGGTCAAATGTCAGTTACTGAGTATGAGATTAGAATTATCGAGTTTTCCTATCATGCTACTATTTTAGTTCCCTCTGAGGAGGAGAGAGTGATGAGATTCATTGATGGTCTTCTCCATTGTATTCACCTTGCTATGGCTATAGAGGCAGAGACATGACTTCATTTCATCAAATTGAAGAGATAGCGCGTCATGTTAAGCACATACGCTGTGAGACAAGAGAGATTATGTAGGGTATGGACAAGAGGTCCCGACATTCAGGTAGCTTCAGTCGTGCCTCATCTAGAGGCCGAGGTCAATTTGGGAGAGGCCATACTAGATAAACAACTTATCATACACCGTGACCCATTCTAGGAGCTTATGTGTAGTCTTCATTCAGTGCACACCTCGCAGAGTTCTCATCGCGCCCCATCTATTCAGGGATCATCGGTACTGGGTTCGTCTGATGGATATTTTGGTTCATAGTGTTTGACTCAAGCCCAACAGTCATTTTTGATCTGGTGTTGCTATGATTATGGAGACTTAAGGCACGTCGGGAAATATTATCCCCACTTTCGCAAGGGATTAGATAGCAGGGAACTCAGATTAGCATTCATGTGCCGGTTACTATACCACCCGCTCAGCTAGCTTGGGTGGAGGTCATCTAGAATGTGGTTGTCCTAGAGGTGGAGCTTAGTCTAGTGGAGGTCAGGTTAGATGCTATGTGTTCCTAGGGAGGACCGAGACCATCTCTTCTGATGCAATTATTACATGTATTATTTATGTGTGCCATAGAGATATTTCAGTATTATTTGATCCCGGCTCTACTTATTCATATGTGTTATCAAACTTTGCTTCTTGTCTGGAAATGCCATGTGATTCACTTGCTACCTCTATTCATATGTCTACACTGGTTGGGGATTCTATTGCGGTGGATCAAGTTTATCAGTCATGTGTTGTCACGATATGTGGTTTTGAGATGAGAGCAGACTTACTGTTGTCGGATATGGTAGACTTTGATGTGATCTTAGGTATGTACTGCTTATCTCTGTACTATGTTATTCTTGATTGTCACGCTACGACAGTGATGTTGGCTATGCTGGGGTTCCCAAGATTGCAATAGAGGGGTTGTCTTGGTCATACTCCTAGCATAGTGATCTCATTTCCGAAGGCTCAACAGATGGTTGACAAGGGGTGTTTGGCATATTCAGATTTTTTCAGAGATATTAGTGCCGATACTCCTAGTGTTGAGTTAGTTTCATGAGTAAGGGAATTTCTAGATGTGTTTTCGGCAGACCTACCGAGCATGCCACCTGATAAAGATATTGATTTGGCACCAGGAGTTCAGCCTATCTTTATTCCTCCATATCGTATGGCTCTAACTGAGTTAAAGGAATTGACGGAATAGTTGCAATAGTTTCTAGATAAAAGGTTCATCACGCCAAGTGATTCGCCCTGGGGTTTGCCAATGTTGTTTGTAAAGAAGAAAGATGGGTCTGTGAGGATGTGTATTGACTATAGATAGTTGAACATGGTTATAATCATGAACAAGTATCCACTACCACGCATTGATGATTTATTGGATAAGCTATTGTTCTAGGGTGTTCTCTAAGATGGACTTGAGATTGGGGTATCACTAGTTAAAGATTAGGGCTTCGGACATCCCTAGGACGACTTTAAGGACCCGTTATGGGCATTATGAGTTTTTAGTGATTTCTTTTGGCTTGACCAATGCAATATCAACATTCATGCATTTGATGAACATTGTGTTTTAGCCTTATTTAGATTCTTTTATTATTGTGTTCATTGATGATATCTTCGTATATTCCTATAAAAAGGAGGAGCACGAGTAGCATTCGAGGATTATGCTCCAGATTTTGAGGAAGAAATTGTATGATAAGTTCTCCAAGTGTGAGTTTTGGCTGGATTCAATGGCATTCTTGGGCCACGTGGTGTTTAATGATGGGATCAGGCTGGATCCTAAGACAATTGAGGCAGTTCAAAGCTGGCCCAGACGTTCTACTGCTACAAACATCAAGAGTTTCATAAGTTTAGAGGGCTACTATCGTCACTTTGTAGGGGATTTTCATCTATTGCAGCTCCATTGACCAAGTTAATTCAGAAGGGAGCTCCATTCATATGGTCGGACGAGTGTGAGGAGAGCTTTTAGAAGCTCAAGACTTCTTTGACTAATGCTCTAGTTTTTATATTGCCCTCAAGGTCGGGGATATACGATGTCTATTGTGATGCTGTGTTTGTTGGCTTTGTGTGAGTATTATTGCAGGACGCTAAGGTGATTTTGTATGCATCCCGACAGATTAAGCCCCATTAGAAGAGTTATTCGGTATATGATTTAGAGTTAGTAGCTATTGTGCATGCACTCAAGATTTGGAGGCATTACTTATATGGCATGTCTTGCGAGGTTTACACGGATCATTAAAATATTCAGCATTTGTTTGAGCAGAAGGATTTGAACTTGAGGCAACGGAGGCGGATGGAGTGTTTGAAGGATTATGATATCAATATCTTGTATAATTTAAGTAAGGCTAATATAGTAACAGATGCCTTGAGTTGAAAAGCGGAGAGTATGGGGAGTTTTGAATTTATTCCAGTGGTGGAGAGGCCTTTGGCTATTGATGAATAGGCTTTGGCCAACAAGTTTGTGATATTGGATTTCTTTCTTGTGTTGTTGCACAATCATATTTGTTTAAGCGCATCAAGGCTTGTTAGTATGATGATCCCCATCTGCTTGTCCTTAAGGACATGGCGCAACGAAGTAGTGCTAAGCGATGACTATTGGGATGATGGTGTATTGTGAATTCTGGGTCGAATTTGTGTTCCTAATGTGGATGGTTTGAGGGAGTTGATTCTTGAGGAGGCTCATATTCGCAATATTCTATACATCCAGGTGCTACGAAGATGTACCGTGAATTGAAGCAGCATTATTGGTGGCATAGGATGAAGAATGAAATTGTTGGATATGTTACGCGGTGTTTGAATTTCTAGCAGGTCAAGTATGAGCGTCAGAAATAAGGTGGTTTGCTTTAGAGGTTAGAGATATCGGAGTGGATGTGGGAGTGCATTACCCACAGACTTTGAGGAGATTCGATGTAGTTTGGGTCATTGGGGACAGACTGACCAAGTCTGCACATTTTATTCTGGTCATGACTTCCTACATTCGGAGCAGTTGGCTAAGATCTACATTATAGATATTGTCTACTCGCATGGTGTGCATGTGTCTATCATCTCGACCGGGGCACTCAGTTTATAGCGCACTTTTGGAGGGTTGTACAGTGTGAGTTGTGTATGTAGGTGGAGTTGAGTACTACATTGCACCCTCAGATGGATGGCAGTACGAGCGGATCATTCAGATCTTGGAGGATATGTTGAGGTCCTATATTGTTGATTTCGGAGGATAGACCAATCGGTTTCTTCGATTAGTGGAGTTTGCATGCAACAACAGCTACCACTCGAGCATCCAGATGACTCCGTATAAGGCCTTATAAGGGAGGCAATATTATTCTTTGGTTGGCTCGTTTGAGCCTGGCAAGTCTATATTGTTGGGCACATATTTGGTTAGTAATGCTTTGGATAAGGTTAAATTAATTCAGGAGTGGCTTCGTACAACAAAGTCCAGGAAAAAGAGTTATGATGAT